GTTTTTCCCAGTGGGAGTGTTTTGACACTACCTCTGAAATTTATTGGGGCCAGAAATGCTTGAATCTTGAAGCTTAGGAGAAACTTGTGTACTTTTTCTAGCTATAAGCTTCAAGTGACACTAGTCAGATGTGAACAAGCACAACTGAAAGCCATGAGATGCTGGAGTACAACTATAGGCAAAACTTTTTAAAAGTTTGGCTAAAGTAACCCGTCAGATATTTTTTCACCATCTGTGTCTCAGTTTGGAGATTTCCTTTCACGTCTTTTCCCATAGCCAAACAGGAAGTGAGAGAAAATCCCTGCAAATTAATGGAGTCCCTTGGGGACCCCCAAGTCTCCAAAACTAGTGTCTGCATTGGAAGATTTCCCCTTTATTGCTTTTTTGGGGACAACCTGGAATTTGGACTTTTGTTTTACTTTTACTTTCAATAATAATGGTAAACAGAACAAATAGAGAGGGTTAATCTCCCTAATAGGGCACAGACAGCAATATAAACTCAATAGGAGTTCTAATCCCTCTCCACTTTATCCAAAACAAACAAAAAAAAAAAGTTTTTCCTGTAGTTATACTTTGAGTGTTTTGAAGCTTCGAACTACGAAATGCACAGGTGTTAGAGGAGACTTCTACTTGTGTTTATTCCACTCTTACAAATTAACCACTTCCCGACCGGCCGTTGCATATAAACGGCCCGGCGGTGGCACTGCAGGGTCGGGTGGCCGTTTATAAACGGCCTCCCTGCACCCTGCCTGGGAGCGCGCAGCACCGCGATCCGGTGCCCGCTGTGTCCTCCGGACACAGTGAAACACCGATCGTCGGACAGGACCTCTGTACGAGGTCCCGATCATGTGATCACTGATTGGCCAATCAGTGATCACATGCAAAGTAGTAAGCAAGATGTCACTTGTGACATCATAGCTTACTACGTGTGGAATCTGTGAATGATCACAGAGGTCACATGGTACAGGGCTATTCACAACAGCCTTGTACCATGTGACAAGCTGTGAGCAATCACAGCTCACTTAGTACTTCTCAATGAGTGCAAGAATGCAGACAGAGAGAAAGAGAAATGATTGCTTTTACATCCTATATGGGTGTAAAAGCAATCAGTGTAAAAAAAAAAAAAATCTTTATCACCCCCCACAAGTAGTACAGTGTCACCATGGTGACACTGTACTGCTAGGGTGACAGTATGTAAAAAAAAAAAAAAAAAATAAAAAATATAAAAAAAATAAAATAAAAATGTAAAATAAAGTTTAAAAATTATAATTTTTGGTTATAAACTAATTTGGATTTTTTTTTTACTAAAAAGATAACGGAATAAATTTTGGCCAAGATTTATGATGAAATATTATTTATTTGCAAAATTTTATAAAAAAAACACTTTTTTTCAAAATTTTTGGACTTTTTCATTTACTTAGAAAAAAAAATAAAAATCTCAGTGGTGAATAAATACCACCAAAATAAAGCTTTATCTGTCTCAAAAAAATGGTAAAAAATTCATTTGGGTACAGTGTTGCATGACCACGCAATTGTCATTCAGTGTGATAGTGCTGAAAGCTGAAAATTGCCCTGGTCAGGAAGTGGGTAAAAGTGTCCGGTCTGGAAGTGGTTAAACATCTTTATTTCATGGGAGAACTCTAGACACCTTGATTGCTGTGTCTATGTGATTATTTTTTAGGTGGCTCTGTTTTTAGATTCTTCATGACGGCAAGGTTACCATTTCACATTTCGATAAGATGGGCGTTTGGTGTCAAGACTAGTTTTGTACCTTGCTGTGATTGCTGAATGCCATGCTACAAAATCTTCACATGCCATCTCTCAGCCTCTTACATTCCTAACAGGATGCCTATCTTCACCTGGCAATTTAGATCTATTGGAATGTTATATTGGATGTTCTTCCAAAAGACATACCTGTGATCCTGTGCCAGCATGTGCCTGAACCTCTTGCAAAACATGTTCTGACATCTTGGTTGAAAAGCCTTTTACTTGTGTGCTTTCTTTTTCTCTGCCTCTGTTATTGTCTATCAGAATATAGGTTGTATCTGATAACGTGTGTGAGCATGAGGGTTGTTGTTAAGTGGTGTCATTCCCTATGGATGAATAGACTTTGAATTTTGCATTATACCTTTTCAAGTTGTCGTTGTTGCTACATTCTTATGCATGTGTACATGTTCTAATGCTGCGTACAAACTCTTCTGTCCGTCCTCAGCAAGAAACAGATGTGGGAAAGTAAATAGTGGATTAAATCATGTGATCTTTTATCAACAGCCACCTGGAATAATTCATGTCCTTAGCTGTAACTCATTAAGTGACGGTTCACATATATGCGGATTGGATGCGGTTTGAACCGCATCCAACCCACATGACATGTGAAAAGACATTGCCTCCTATGGTGCCTGTTCACATATGTCCGGTGCACTGGCGGTGTGGATTTAGTTCGGTTTGAACCATTTCTAAACTGCATATGTGTGAACAGGATAAGATCCTGAGCTAATCCTCTCCTGAACCTGATGTAAACCTGACATGAACCGCTGAACAACTATTGTGTCAATTAGCTGTGAAATCTGAGCTTCAATCCGCACCGAACATGTATTTGTATCAGACAGCATGTCTGGAATCATTCCTCTCTCTGTTTTCTTAAAGCGGACTGTTCACAAAGGCATACCACAGACGATGCAATTTTTCTTTCATTCAACCACGGCTTGCTGGAAAGAATCTCACTCGATTCCACCATCAACACAGTCAGTGTATCATCTCTATGGATAGGAAGAACAAAAACTACAGGACTTTGGTATTTGATCCAGTTATACACTGTCAGTGTGGATGGGGGAGGAATCTCTCCTGCCGAAGTATTGTGTTCTCCCTGTGAAGGGGGGGGGGGGGGGCAGAGCCGTCCCTGCTGGGAAAACACAATAATTATTGCTAGCGCCCATAACTGTTGACAAGAATCGCATGTAAAAATCAGACATGCTGGTTGTACCCAAGTCATACAACAATCGAATTGGATACAATCAGCCTGCCCTTAGAGGGTTTGAATCTCGGCCAGTCCATGCTGAACCGGCCAAGATTCGAACCATCTATAGCAGTTTTAAATTATTTAGTAAGGCCCTCCTTACCCACCTCAAAATCCTGGAAGAAAAAATATTGTCACTGCTATACAAGGTGCCTAAACAAGGTTGATGTCACCATTCATTGGCGATATTTCAGGGAATTCCGCGTAGCCCAAATCTTACAAGAAGATGCTGCGGTGCTGTATTGTAGTGTCATCTTGCAAGATTTGGGGTACTCTGCATTCCCCAAGCTATAGTCAGTAGAATGTTGATGTAACCCTCTGTAACACAAGAGTTTTTTTTTTTTTTGCAGTGGATTAAAATGGGGGATGGGATCTTCACTAATTAAGAAGACTATTCGTGGAGTGAGAGGTCATCTTTAAAGAAATTGTGTTTTTTGTCAATTTTTTCTAAAGATTCTGTCAGTAACAGCACTTTCTGTTGCAGACAGGCAACAATAAGCGATTGCCTTGCAGTTAGCAGCAATGTTGTCAGCCCGCTGTGTGCGTTCTTTCAGTTGGCTTTTGGTATGCCTATTAGGTCTATTCTTTGCAAGAATTTCAATAATAATTTTGAGATATCTATAACTTTGATGACATTTTTCTTTTTTTTAAATGTGCATACTTTGCCTAAAAGTCTGACAGTTATTTCTTTGTCACTTGCCTGCTGTGCAAGTAACACATGCCATCTCCCAGAGCCTGGTGCGCATAACCGGATCATCTCTATAGATAATAAAAAACACAAACATCTACAGAACTTTGGTATTTGATACCATTGTGTACTCATAGATATTGAATGCAGTAGGGAGCTAGGAAGGGGCAGGAGTGGCCTCCACACTACTAACAATCACGGAAACTTGCCTGTCAGGATGGCCCTGCATTTGGGCACAATTGTAGGACTTGGAGATTGCTGCAGGAATGTACAGGCACAACTAGAGTCCACACTTTAAATTTGACGGCAGTCAATTATGACAGAGTTGTTTTAAAGTTCAACTAAAGGCTTCTGTATGAGATCCTAAAGAAGTAGGAAATCCACTTACTATCTGATGCAACAGCTTCATAAATTAAAATAAAAACTTCCTTTACCTTCCAAATACTCCTTCATTGGTGTCTCACACGCTTCCCCTCCCAGACACTGCTGCTCACAGTAGGAGGGTTATAGCAGCAAAGTCATTGCTTTCAATCCAGAAAGCATTGTGCAGGGCTAGGTGTGGCCAGGTGGTAATTGGCAGGCCAAAGGCTTATAAATCAGCAGAGACAACGTTCATACCACACCCCCTGCAACATTTTTCATCCCACTGAAGTGCAAACAAACAAAGCCTACAAAATAGCGGCAAGTCTGCTCTGAATTCAGAAACCGTCCATCATAATTTCTACCCCATCACAGGAAGTTGCATTAGATGGACATCACTGGCAGGATCAACAGGTATTTGTGGGTCTTTGCAGGGGGACTAAGAGAAAACTAACTGCAGCTGCACTTAGAATTAAGGGGCTGCAGCACATGCGTTTCATGGGAGGCCATAGATCTACTTTTGCACAAATCATAATTAATTTGTGGAACTGAGTAATCGATTGTGCCTTCACCTGGATCAACTGTGGGCATTAGGTTCTGTATATGAAGGTTTTTAATGTATTGATTTTTTTTTTGTTAACTAGATGAGGTGTTTTTTTTTTTACATGACTAGCTATGTAACTGTTATGCCTTGATGTACATGCAGGATAATCCACATTCACCTCTATGGTGAACAGAGGCTGTCTTGTACATATAGCATAGATCAGCATTGACCTACACTGTATTAAAATGATACGTTTTGTTTAAAATAACTATACGTCATAGCAGGCTGTCCTGCATGGGTGGATATGCATCGTGGGTGTCAAGACTTGCTGTGTTGTGCTTGAATGTCTATTCAGGAACCCTAAACTATGTTTTGCCATTCCCTCTTTTTAGAGTCTGCCAATTCAACACCACCAAAAAGAAAACTTTTAGCAGCAAAAATAGACTTGATTAATGACTGGCCCAAACCTGAGCAAAAATGGCAAGACAGCATTGTGACCAATGAAGAAGAGGCACCTAGGTGGCGGCCCCATTGGGCAGCAAATAATGAAATCTCCAACAGTACAGGCAAAAATAAAGATAACCAGTCTGGTAAGTGCTAAATTATATACTGTTTATGTTGTTTTCTGCATGGGCATGCCCACATCTGTTTGAATTACAAGTAAGCACGTCATAAATGACGAGGGATTTCCAGAGCCTTCTGGGACGGGATAGCTGTAACAGCCTATCTTGCATTGATCTACAATTTACTGGCTGCTCGTTCTGCTTCTTCCTCTCCCAGTCAGAGCTCTGCTGTACTGGGGATTGCAAGGGGGTAATAGAAGGTCAAATTCAGATATTTATACTGCTTGCATTTCAGGAAATACAGCTGTTGCTGTATTCCTGTATGCAGAGCTTCCTTCTGTTGTGTCAATGTGGAGTACTCTAGAAGCATGACCTTGCCACCTTAGTTCCTTGTCACCTTTCCTCAGTTTTACTTGTCATACCACTCTTGTGCTAGTGGAGTTTATGCTCATGCTGCATTCTATCTAATAATAAAATATATATTAAATCCAACAGGGGCTGACTACTCTCTTCATATAAGGCAGGTGGATGGAATTGTGATTCCAGATGGAGAGATCTTGTGGCTGGAGTCACCAGGAGCCATAATAAGCTGTAGCACGATGCCACCCATAGACGCTATTCAGTGCTAAAATATTAGTTTTGGGTGGATCGAGTCTTTAAATATCCAGTTAAAGCTAGCTGAACCAAACACAGGCACACATATATGTGCTTATGTTTAAAGCTGATCTCTGGGAAAAGTAAAATTTATGATTTAAATCTTTCTTCTCCAACCTCTAAGATGACACAAAAAGGGAAAGAGTGAGGTGACTGGTCCCGCTGCTCATAGGAAGCAGGCCACAGTGACCGGTCCCTTTTTGACAGGAAATACTGGCTGCCTTCTATTCCACTGGAAAATTGGAGATCAGTATAAATAATAAATCCGCAGATGAATACCCTTCTATTTCTCTATTCATGGTTGCTTGAGATTAGCTTCAAACAGAGCATGGAGCAATGAACAGCCAGGCTCAGACAAGTTAGAAGATGTCTATAGAACAGGGATCTCCAAATTTTCTAAACAAATGGCCAGTTTACTGTCCTTCAGACTTTAGGGGGCCCAGACTGTGCCCAGTGGGAGTGAACAATGTTGCATCTTTAGTATTAGGGGGAGTAACCGTTCCTCATCGTTGGTGTCAGTTGGAGGAATAATGCCTCCTTATTTGTGTCAGTAGAAGGAAAAATGCCTGATTGTTGGTGTCGGTGGAAGGAATTATGTCCAATCGTTGGCGTCAAAGGGATTGATCGTGCCCTATGGTTGATGTCAGTGGCAGGAATTATGCCCCACCGTTGATGTTAGTGGCAGGAAAAATGCCAAAAGTGTCAGATAAAGGCAAGCAAAGGGTCACATCCGGCCCCCGGGCCGCAGTTTGGAGACCACTGCTATAGAACAATAAAAGGTAGAGAGAGCGCCACAAAGCTTGAGTAAATTCAGTAAGACTTTTATTTCACAACATGAAAAGCCAACATGTTCTGGTGGCTCAAAACTCCCCCCTAATTATGGATGATCTGCTAGCAGTAAGGTCCCATTTATAGTGGACAACAGTTGTAGCCGTATGGACTTATTATTGGACAATAGTTGTAAAACCAAACAGATATCCAAAGTAACGCTGCCCATCATTTTTGTTACCCAGATTATTTTGAGATATCCATTTGGTTTTACAGGTGTTGTCCAGTAGACCGTGCATTTGACCTTACTGCCAGCATACAAGCCTTGATGAAGGAGGAGATTTGAGCCCTTGAAATGTGTTGGCTTTTTGATTTTGTGTCCTGAAATAAAATTCTTACTGGGTTTAGTGCCATGTTTGTGGCACTCTCATCTTTCTATAGGTTCTATGGACTGCTCCAGGGACCCTTTGGTTGTCATAGAGCTGGATTTAGAATATACATTTTGATTTCTGCCTTGAGTCTACCCTGTGATCCAGCAGGCCACTAACACGTGCCTTAGCTAAGCTAGCCATACACTTGCAGATTTTTTTTTCTTTTAGCTAATTTCGATTCCTTTATCAATGCTATACAGATGGACAAACCTCCTGAAGCAGCTATTGTATTCTGACAGCTGGCCCCGCTGGCTATCAAAATACCTGAATATCTGCTGCATCTATTTGGATGCAGCTGCTGTTCGGCTGACAATTTTCCACCTGGCTCCTTTGATTTTTAAGTTAACCTCCCTAGCGGTCTGAATACATCAGTATTTCTGTGCTCAAAGCGGTACATTTTTTTGCATAGAAATATGTTGTTTTTTTATTGTAGGCCTGTAATTTTTAGGAATAACTCACTGAAATCTGTCCGAACAAGAGTCTAGTAAACATCCCGGATATGATAAAATTTGAAACACGAAATCATAAATTATAATATAATAAATAATCATAAAAAATAATAATATAATAATAAATTTAATTCAATAATGTAATCAAGCCAAAAACACTGAAATTTGAAATAGAACGCCAAGTTCGCACATCACTGAGCAAAGTCGCAGAATCGTTTTCAGTGTCTGATAACGAATTTCCCCCACGAATCATTATCACTCAATTCTGCAAGTGGTTCTGATTTACTATCGCTGTTCTCTAGCCGGTCTAAAACTGCTTTTGACCTAAAGGGACGCTTTTTGGACACCATGGACGTTTCTCAGTTTCCAGGCAGAAAGAACAGTAAAAATGCAGGCAGTTCACAGGACAAAGCACTCGGGACAAAATGTATGTGAAATGGTTTGATACAGTAATGTTTTACTATGTGATTTTAGTGTATTTAGTGAATGTCACTTTTAAAATTTTTGAATTTCCCGCCATTCCGTCCCCCGTACGTCCCGACGCTCCCAGGGAATGGAACCGGAAGACGGATGCCGGCATGGGCCGGAGGAGATGGCCGGGGACGCTGCAGGGGGGGCATTGCGGGAGCGAAGGACAAGGTGATCGAGGGAATCCCTGAGCAACGCTGCAGTATAATCCCAAGTGTAGCTCGGGGTTATCGCTTTTGGTACTGAAACTTTACCCCGAGCTACACTCGGGAATACCTCCAGGGAGGTTAAGGGATGTTGGGTGGGAGGCACCCAACCCCCTGAGCAAACTTCGGCTGGTTCCTCAGGAACATTCCAAAATTGCAACAGTGTATGGCCAGCTTTAGAAGACATTCCTGGATTGGTATTGTTCTCCTGTAATGAGTTGGTTCCTCTATCTCCAGGATCCTTCTCCTGTCCATTGACATAATCTTTTAATGTCAGCAGAATAGACCTTCCATTGTTATGCAGGGCTTGCAGATGTCTTGTCCTAAGGGCAGTTTCAGTATAAGTGACCTCCCTAACCAAACACTCCAGTCTGTTTTCTTGTAATAAAACGTTGCTGGAGTTCCCAGCAATGATTAGACTTCATTACACGTGTTATTTATATCTCTTGGAGAGTGTACATAGAGGAATGTGTGAGATCTAAACATTGTGTCAGTGAAGCACATGATCTCAGCAGTGGGACAAGTTACACAACGTCTGCCGCTCCTCGCTGATTCACACTAATGACACAGGCAGTAGAAAGTCATTTGGTGAGGCATTTTTCTCTGAATTTCCACCCTAGAGCTAAATTTAGAGCCCATTTATTGTTTCTCTGATTTCCTGCAAGAGAAGATTTTCTTAAAGTAAATCGAAAGTGAACATTATATGGAGGCGTCCAGCGTTGACCTCTTTCTGGCATTGCTAGTTGCCTGGCTGTCTCTGGCAGCAGTACTTTGAACACCAAAGTTAGAACTCGTGATCTACATCCTTGTTCCAGATCAAGTATTAAAGTAGAACTATAGGCAAAACATTTTTTTCATTTTGGATAGAGCAGGGGATTTTTTTTCACCATCTGTGTTCCATTGGGGAGATTTACCTTCATTTTCTGTCCCACAACCAAACAGGGAGTGAGAGGAAATCCCTGCAAATTAGGGAATTCCTTGGGGGCCCCCAGGCCACCAAAACTAGTGCCCCCATTGGAAGATTTCCTCTATTACTTTACTGGGAACACCCCAAAATTTGGGATTTACTTTTGCTTTCAATGATAATGGTAAACAGGACAAATGGAGAGGATGAATCTCCACAACAGGGACACCGGCCTCAATGAAAACTGACAAGTGTTCTAATACCTCTCCATTCTATCCAAAACTAAAAAAAAAAAAAAAACAAAAACAAACTGACCCAGGATGTTGTGAAAGTCCAGCAGAGGGCAAAGGACCAGTCACCAGTATTACCCCATTACTGGCTTACCATGCCTTGTTCTGCATGGTTTCCTTCTGTGGAAGTCACTATCTTTGTTGAGGCAGGGCTTTGCTTATTCATGCCTGAGCTTTCTGCAAGAAGAACATTGATCAGTGCAGTAGTGACATCACAAAATCACATTCCAAATCCTAAAGCTAGCAATCAGAGGCAGCAGTGCCTTGGATCTCACACTCTTATACAGATATGAGGTTACAGACACAGGAGTGCCTAGGCTACCAGGAAATGCACTGCTATTTTTCAGGAAGAATTCCAGAGAAAGGTAGATTTTTCAACATACTGCTTAGACATAACTAACATTTTTAAATTTTGCCTGAGACAAGATAAATCATAACTTTTTGACTTCAGTTCCACCTTAAGGAGGTAATGGCAGCCTCCCTCTAAGGACAAGCTCCTAAACAGGGCACAAATTAATGAATATGCAAAATAAAAAGCCCTTCTGTTTTTGGCTGCACCAATTTAATTAAGAAAAAAAGAAAAACTATCCATAGAAGCCTCTAGCTGGAAATGACTCCATATTTCTCTGGGTTCTGAACAACCAACCAGCCACTACACACAGTGCAGTTTCATCAAGGAACAGATTGTATTTCAGGGCATTTACTACTGGGCAAAATTGATTCGTGGGTGGCCCAGCTAAAAAATCAGCACAAAGGACATTACTTACAACCAATGAGATGAGTACCTTGTGCAGCTGTCTGAGGTTTTAGTTATAAATTTCCGGTCCTCTGATCCCCCCCCCCCCCACCCCTGCACTGATGATCTTTATGGTACCATGGGGGTTATTACAACCCAAGGAACCTGTTATATGCACTACTCAAGAGTGCCAATTATGCTCGCCCATTCCAACCCCTTCCTCCTATTCATAGAAGTCGTACTATACTGTATATTATCTGCATCCCTGTTCCAGGGCAGTGACTCCGAAAATATTAAGGCCAGAGACAGCCAGGCAGCTAGTAGGTAAAGATGAGCAATGGTAT